TGAATGTATTTATTTGCATAGGGCACAGAAAGAGTAGAAACAAACGCGAGGGGATCAGCAAAAACGACGAAAGCAAAGAAAAACGTAATTAAAAAGTATGCCAGTTAAACATGTCGATCAAAAAGTAATATCTTTTCCCTCCGATTTGTAGCCCGCAACCGTAATAGCGCTTTATTCGCCTGGAAAAGGGGAACCGATTGTCGAAGATAAGAGCAATGTAAGTAAAGTATGTTTTTTCTAGCGTGTTTTTTTATGAATTCGCTTAATTGTGCTTTTGGTTCTTTAATAGGAATCCCCAGCAACACCGTCAGTTGCAAATGCAACTTTTCTTGTCGGGAGCCCAACTTCATCGTGCTCTAGCATTGCCCCGTCAACACCACAAACATCAGTCCATCATATCGAGTCATCGCCTTCCACGCCTTCCACGCCATCCTTTTATTATTACAATCCTCTGCCTCCTTTTGATGATCTTGATCAACAAGTGTCAACGCCAATTCAAACCAGTRCAAAACGGCAACTTATTGAAGATAACACATCGACAGCAATCAAGACATTGGAAAACAACATCATTACATACATCGACAGAAAGTTTGAAGAGCTGTATCAGTTTCTTCGTTACAATTCACYTAACACGACTCAGTACATGCCCACAAATCACCACCAAACACCACAGACTTCCCTCACACCAAACACATTAGCGGAAAGACAGCAACATTTAACGCCGACGACAACAATTCAACAGACCACCACAGAGGATCTTGCAGGTTCTCCCGAACACAACATAAACAGTCCTGACACTAACAGACTATTGCAAATCCGTAATACGGCAAGCTCCAGACMAAATTTTGCAGTGCGTCTAGTGAGAGAGATGTTTCAGCCTGCGGAGCTGTTGGGSAGAAATGTAGAGGGAGTACGCGGGAAGCAAGCCCTTGACCCTGCAAGGATAGCGATGATAAAAGCTTTGGTAATTAAATGTTACCCTGTGACTGCATTGGAGGAGGAAAGTTCGTGGAGAGTCTGTAAAAAGGCCATCGACTCTTTTTTAAGGAAAAAGAAAGACACTTAAATTAATTTTCTGCATCTTCTTGTTAAAAGTGTTATACACAGTTACTAAATAATAACCCTTGAATATTTGAATAATAAATTTGTTTTGAATGTGATTGATCTTTGTCTTGAGCTAATCTTAAGGAACGCTGAGAAATGTTTTAAACATGAACTGCAATTTAAGATAGTTCTTCGAACGAGTGGACTTATAAATCAACAACAAATTTTCCTCCGCTCTCATGACGCGATAGAGTCCCTCGTGGAGGGGTACTTTGCATAAAGTCCGCGCGCTTTTCCGTCCGCTCCATAAAATTTTAAGGCGAGTATTGTTTATCAAAGAATATTTTAAAGTACTTTTTAATAACTCTCTGAAGA